ACCTTACTTACTTTCTCGAACTATATTTGAATTTCCCGCTTTTTGGCCCAAAGGCGGTGCCTATTTCTTATCTATGTTACCTACGCTGCTTATACATTGCTTAAATGGGAAAAGTGGGGGGAACTAGCAGTCCATACTTATATAGTCAAAGGAAAGCACCCAGTATTATATATGTATACCGCGTTCAATTTGAGAAGAAACCGGACAGACGAAAACCACGGTTGTCCGAAAACTCGTTCGTTTCGCGCACTTCCCTTGCAAGAAAGTCTTCTCACTCCACAGCCATTGGCTGTCAGCAAGTGTCCCGCCAATCCCGCGCGCAACGCTATCCCTACTCTACCCAGTTTTTTTCTCCTATGCACAATAAAATTCTCTTTTCAAATTGAACGCAATATGGGGAAGAGAGGTCACGTGATTACCGCCACTGATAGTTCGGAGCAAACACGTGCTTCCGGTTCTCGAAAATCTCATTTCGGAATTGGAACCGGAGCAGCGAGTGTTTCCACTACTGACGAGTGTGCACGAGATCTAAGAACGCGGTGAAAAATTATGGCCAATGAAGAGACCAGTGCGAGGTCGGAACAAATGTCGCTGCCCGACGACGGATTGTCGGCGTCCAAGTTGTTCGCCGCGGGCGACGGTCTCACCTACAATGATTTCATTATTTTGCCCGGTTACATCGACTTCACCGCCGACGAGGTGGATCTGCTGTCGCCGTTGACCAGAAAGATCACGCTCAAGGCACCGCTAGTGTCTTCCCCAATGGACACCGTCACCGAATCGGACATGGCAATCGCGATGGCCCTGTCCGGCGGTATCGGGATCATACATCACAACTGCACCCCTGAATATCAAGCCAATGAAGTGCACAAGGTACTTACTGCGACCCGTCTCTCTCATTGCGAAATCGTTTCAGAATCCTTACAAGTTAACTACTCGAGAGTATTCAGTTCGCAGCTTTTTAAACTTTAAACTGTGATGTAAACCTTTGTTAAAAAAAAATGTTTATCATGCGTGTGCATATATTTCGTATCACCTAACGTATAAGAACAATTATGTAAAATCTGTTTGTTAACAACAGTTTTCAATAAATACTGAAAAGACATTTTGCTTATTTGCAGGTAAAGAAATACAAGCATGGCTTCATTAGGGATCCGCTTGTGTTGGCGCCACATCACACGATCAATGATGTTTTAAATGTGAAGACTGAACACGGTTTCAGCGGAGTTCCTGTCACGGACACGGGTAAAGTAGGTGGTAAATTGTTAGGCATTGTCACATCTAGGGATATTGATTTTCTTGAGCACTTGCCTGATTATCAAAGTAAAACGCTTAGCTCAATAATGACGACTCTGAAAGATCTCATCACCGCACCGGCGGGAGTCACGCTGCCGGAAGCGAATGTAATACTGGAGAAATCTAAGAAGGGAAAGTTGCCTATAATAAACGAACGTGGCGAACTTGTGTCCCTGATGGCGCGAACCGATTTGAAGAAGAACCGTAGTTATCCCAACGCTAGTAAGGATGAGAATAAGCAACTGCTGGTGGGAGCTGCGATAGGAACGCGCGAGGTAGACAAACATCGACTGGAACTGCTCGTTAACGCCGGTGTGGATGTCGTTGTGTTGGATTCGTCGCAGGGCAATTCGCGATATCAAGTCGACATGATCAAGTATATCAAATCCGAGTATCCGGATTTGCAAGTGATCGCCGGCAACGTCGTGACCGCAACACAGGCCAAGAATCTCATAGAAGCGGGCGCGGACGCGTTGCGCGTCGGAATGGGTTCGGGTTCCATCTGCATAACGCAAGAGGTGATGGCCGTGGGACGGCCGCAGGCGACGGCGGTTTACAAGGTTTCCGAATACGCGAGAAAATTCGGAATACCGGTCATAGCGGACGGCGGTATTCAGTCTATCGGACATATCATCAAGGGTCTCAGTTTAGGAGCAAGTACAGTCATGATGGGCTCTTTATTGGCCGGAACGTCCGAGGCCCCGGGCGAGTACTTCTTCAGCGATGGCGTACGTCTGAAAAAATACAGAGGAATGGGCTCGTTGGAAGCAATGGATAGAAAAGACGCCAAGGGCTCGGCCATGGATAGATATTTTCACAACGAAATGGACAAACTGAAGGTGGCGCAAGGTGTGAGTGGATCGATTGTCGATAAGGGATCCGTTCTCAAATTTCTTCCGTATTTAACGTGCGGCATCAAGCACGGTTGCCAGGACATCGGAGCAAAGTCGCTCGGCATTCTGCGATCCATGATGTACAACGGGGAATTGAAGTTTGAGAGAAGAACGCACTCGGCGCAACTGGAAGGCAATGTGCACAGTTTGTTCTCTTATGAGAAGAGACTTTACTAATTTAACGACGAGAAATACTCGCGGGACATACTTACGTCATGTGGACAGGTACCTGCATTTAATTAGAAAAGAATTCAGATTGCGTAAACAACAAACTACAAAAGGAGGAGCTTTCCATTTAACGTATCGACTTGATTTACATTCAAGTCACGCCAATTCTGTATGACAAAGTAAAAATATAAATTTTTTTTTCTGCGCAGAATTTAATGCGTATATAAATGTTATATGTTTTCGATTTGTGTGAAACACATTCAAATACTTTTCTCAGATCGTTATTTCTGTAAGATATTACATGTGTATAGGTACGTATATACAGAAAGATTAAGATTTTACAAACATAATACATCCAAGTATATTTATTTATACATTTTAGAAAAAAATTATATATATGTTTGTATATAAAAAAAAATTATATATATGTTTGTATATATTTTTTATTTTTTTTTTTTTATATAGTCACACTACATGATGAAATTGCGCATCTCTTGAAGCGAACAGCGTCTATGTGTTTAATTTACAGACAGTTGTAATCAATTAATAATTGTTGCACTTCTTGGCAAAACAGAATAAATTACCGACTTGAGTCATCACCATGCAGCTACGCAAATCGAGCTTAAAGCGCAAATGATGCTAGACTTTGATTTGCCACTGTTGCAAGTAATTTACCTTGAATCAAGCAAAAAAAAAAAAAAATTAATCATATGCACGAGAGAACTTTAATCGAAAACATAAAACTTTATATGACGCATTCTAAGATTGCTTTCCAGCAAAAAAGGTGACACAGTAATACGTAATATCAGACGTAATAGAGCTCTTTGTCGGAATATTGTGTAATATCGATCAGTAATTAGCGCTTCATGTAAAAAGTATCTTTTATTTGCATGATTCTACAAATACAAACGGTAAAAAATAAAAAATGGATTACGCAACAAAAAGTGAAGCAACTCTATCACTTGGACATTAGTTTCCAAAGTTTTTTAAATTGATATCGAGTCGCATACAAGCAAATGTTCGGAGAAAAACGCGTTTTTGTGTATTTGATCGGTTTTGACAATAAAGTATTATAATATATGAGAACCTTATTTTGCCGCTCATTCAGATCTTGTTTGCACTAATCCTTGACGCAGATTGTATATTCTACACACACATTATGTACATAGATTATTATTAATTGAACAATCTATCCATCTCTCGATTTTTTGTATAAATGTTCTATGTTCCTCAAATAATCATTGGTCTAACACCAATTTGTTACATAAGATTTATTATGTGGTTTTTTTTTATATAATATATTTTATGTAATATAGTTTTATTTTACACGTATCTCAAAAATAAACTTGAAGATATCCTATCACTCACAATTTTTTAATGAAATGAAGAACGTTATATAAGTCGCGTACCTTGATCTGATTTGTTTTTTTGCAAATCAGTGTTGAAGCACTGACTTACAACTAATAATTGCAGCGATCTTGATCTATATGGAAAATCACTAAGTGTCTAACAGTATGTGAACTCGTGTTGTGTTCTTTGCTGGAAGGCAACTTCACAAGTCTGTAACTCGCTCCTCGAGAATGTATTGTTTATTAACGAAATATATAAAAGTACTTAAGTACTGAACAAGCACTTAAGAAATATAAGTATGAGAAGTACTTAAAAAATATAGGTATGAGAAGTAACGAGTATATATAGTCTCCTACTCATTTTTCATTCAACTATCTTAATCGTCAAGAACAAAGTGTTTCGTACACACTTCTTTGCATAATAATTTTTGTACACTTTTAGAAATATAACAAAACGAGAAAATAATCACTATAATGTTATGTAATTTTTTTATCAACTTTGCCTTGTTCCATTCCTGAACTTTTATGTTTGTTGAACAATTTTATGTAACAGTCACATATTATATATGTATTAAGCATAATATATATTATAAATTTATCACAACTTTCAGTGATGTTTAATACAACATTTATTATAGAAAATTTATCATTGAATGCAACACATATTTTATCACAAAATTCTCTTGCATCAAAAACACGGTTATCAAATCTGAAGTATATGTATGTTAGTTATAAAATATATGTTAGTTATAAAACATGTTATAAAATATATCTAGTTCCGATGTTAGAAATTTTTTTTATTACAAAATTACCCTGTATTGCGTCCAACAGTACGTGTTTTACGTGTGCAATGTATATATTAAAATTGCACGTGTATTACGCGTGCAATTTTAATACTAGAATATATGAATATATGAATATATGTATATATATTTAGTTACGTTGCGACACACGTTAGGATCTTGCACTCTGAGACTTCGCGCTCTTACGCGATTTATCGACGGGAATAAATTTTAAACGGATTGGATGCGAAACGCGAAGTATAATGTCTATCTTAAATTCCAAGTCACTTAACTTATCTATCGGTTCCAAATGAAATTTGTGCACCAGAGACGCTATCACAGCCTTGAGCTCCAGCATGGCAAAACGTTGACCTGTTTATTCACAAATATTCGCATCATACAAAGCGGTTTATTGTATAGGAAGAAATTAGAGAAGTTTGTTACGAATAGTATATATGTATTACCTATGCAGTTTCGCGGCCCGGCGCTGAAAGGCACGTAAGAATACGGATGACGATTTCGGACATTTTCCGTTAAAAATCTATCCGGGTCGAATTTTTCTGGATCTTCCCAAAACTTTGGGTCTCTATGAGTGTCAAAGATGTTAATGTGCAGCACCGTTCCAGCCGGTATCGTATATGATTCTGAAAATAACGAGAAACAAAACAATTCAAAACTAAGAATGATGAGGTCATTTGTTTGTACGTATGGGAAAATAATTTATGAACGGATATTAAAATACCCGAAAAGTACAAAGTAAACATATATTCATAGTAGTTAATAAACAAATTTGTCCGGAGTTAAAAAGAACCAATAACATAAGTAACTGGGACTTGATATCTTGGCGAATGTGACTTTATAGAGTAATAGTACAAGAGGAAATAAATAGCAAAAGGAGAAAGAAGATTTGCTTATTTATAATTATAATAAGTTAATTACATATTGGGTGAGCGCAAAAGTTTTAAATTTTGCGATAGAAAAATGGGGACCAAGTATTAATTTTACTTAAAACTTGATTTTATTAAAGAAAATAAAACGAGTTGTTTTATTCTACCAAGATAATCTTCATTGTTTTCTATCTTTTGCTGTTGTAGAATCCGTTCAAAATGTTTGCGCTCATTCGATATAATGTTAGGATATTTTTACTCACGTAATTTTACGTCTTGCGACACGACTCGCGATATGAAAGGAACGCTGGGATACAATCTCAATGATTCTTTCAGACATCGTTCTAAATATGGCAGATTCTGCAGAGCTGTCATAGTGAGTTTCCCGCCGTTATTTTCCATTACCTCGTCAACTTCCTCTCTGACACGATCCTGTTTATTTTTAACATAAAAGATGATTCAATTTTCATGTACATTACATGTATAGATGATTGTTGCGAAACTTGAAAAGTGCGCAGTAAGCGCGTAATTTCCTCTGCATATACACGTGTACATATATTATCTCTAGATGCATATTAAGAAAACCATTGTTTACATGTAGATGTATATTTCTTCTGTTATGTTTGAAATTTATAATTCTAAAAATAGAAGATTCTAGAAAAATCTAGAAAAATAGATTTTGTTCTCAATAGTTTTACTTAATGAAAAACCATATATACAGGGTGTCCCAGAATTGGTGTAACATCTCTCGTAGATAGGTAGAAGGAGTAAAACTGAGTTGATAAGTCCTATATCATTTTGCTAGATTCGCAATAGTTATCGAGATTTTAATTAACAAAGATCCGCGAATTGCGCTTCGCACAATTACATTTTAATACGTATATGTTATAATATATGCTGTTATATTAGCTTCTCCCATATGTCGCTATGGGTAACACCGTTAGCGCGCGAAGCGCACTGGGCTGTCTTACGCGCGTAAGACAGCCCGATGCATGCTTATTCGCTGATCTTTGTTAATTAAGATCTCGGTAATTATTGCGAATCTAGCAAAACAGTATAGGACATTTTGACTCAGTTTTACTCCTTTTATTTGTTCACGAGAGATGTTACNCCAATTCTGGGACACCCTGTATATACATATATCACATACCACTAATTTATATTGTAAAACAAAAATACCTGAACGTCTTTGTGCTCAGCTAATAGTAACAGAGAGAAGATTATACCCATTGCTACGGTATCGTGACCCTGTAACAAAGTGGACGGGTGTTCTACATTTGGTATAAATAATGCATAAGCATAGTAAAATGTATTAATATATTTCTTTACATAAAAAAATTTAATTTTTGTACAAGTATTCGCTTCAACGTTTATGTTATTCTCAAGAATTTATATTCGACATGCAAATGAAATTGGTCAAAGAATCGATTTACATCTGTTTAATATCACGGTTATACGGTCAACAATTGTCAAAACGTCATTTGCTATAAATAATTTTTATGAGAACCAAAAGCGCTTACCTCGAACATGAATGTGTCGATTTCTTCTCTGATATCGGCGTCACTCAACTGGTTCTCGTGGGCGCTCGCTATCAGAAGATCTAACATAGCAAGTCGCTTTTTTCGTGCTTAAAAAAAAACAAAAAAATAGCTTGAAGAATAACGGCGTGTTAAGTTGATACATGCTACTATCTGTGATAACATTTGTTTACGTTTTTTTTTTAATACAAAAATTTGATATATATAGTAAAAAGAAACAATTTGTGTTGATCAGTTTACATACTTCCTATTACTTCGTCTGAGTCCGCTTCATTGGTTTGGAATTTCAAATATTGCCCATTGGTGCGCTCATGATATTGCTTTCTTTCTGTGATTACCTACATATACGTACGAGAAAAAGATTTTATGAATTGTACAATATTCAAGTATGCAATTTTATTTGGGAAAAGAAAAAACTGCAAATAAACGCGATTTTATTGCTTACTTTATTAGTGAATTTGTGTAGTATGTCTAAGCTTTTTGTGTGCAATTTACCCATCGGAGACAATGCAAATAACATGTCGGAGCGAAACCACGGTCTCCAGGTTCTACACATAATTTATATAGCATTATATGTATGTACGTCATATATTTGAAAAAATAATAAACTATGTTCTAAGAAATAAATGTCTATTTTTTTTTGTAGCATTTTACTCATCATACTGTGTTATTACGCAGTAGTTGAACATCTAAGAAACAATGTTGCATCTCACTAATAGATGTGTTATAATGAGTCGTATCTTGAATAATGATTTTTGCTGTTATTTCGATTATATTGTTAGTCTCAAGAATAAGTGGCTTGTTTTTAGTAGTGGTTTGTTATTAATCGTTATGAAACACGTTAGACGTTTTATGATCAGCTTGTATCTCGTCTATAAAATCATGATGATAAAGTGAATCTTATTGAATATCAATTCTCCCTTATTGAAGACCAGTTCTTCTTGTTCAATTTACATGTTGAATTGCGGTGGAAAGACGTGCCACGCACGTTGAGATGCTTCTGTTACCGGAACGCCAGCGACGTGTTACACACGTCGTTAGGCGATTGTTGCAGAAAGAAAAATGACGTGCGTGGTACGTCAACTGTGACGCATTTATTTATTAATAAATAAATTTATTATTCATACATATGTAATTTTATCATCAGTTGATGCGCGTTCTGCTGGCACGCGCAACCGTGAATTTCTTTGCACCGCAAGTGATTAAAATTATAATTAAAAATGTTTAATGAAGAATTTTTGTGTTACCTGTAAAGAAGAATTGTACCCATATCGTGAATCGCCTGGCGATATTGTTCCTGAGATTCACCCATAGTTTCCAGAGAAATTCCCATAGAGGTTTCTATAAATTATTTTTGTTACACTTGCACTTGTTTTAAACTGAGTAGAGAGAACTTACAAGTTAAAGGAAAAAAAGTCTATTATATAGATGCAACTATATGTACAAATTTTTACATTTACCGCATATCGCGTTCAACGTGTGATGACTGACAAATGACATTAAATCCGTGACCGTCGAGTCCTTGATTTTTGTCAGAATATCGTTCACCATGCGGTTACCCTCGTCGATTAAAACATCGATGTATTGTTTCAATATAGAAAAATGAAACGCCGGCGTTAATATCTTTCGCCTCCTTTGCCATTTTTGTCCTACAAATACAACAGAGAGGAATGAAACAATGTTTTTAAAGAGCGCTTTGTCAATAAGACAAGTAGAAGAAAAAAACTTGTTTTTTTATCTTGGATCTAATTTGGAGATATGTTCTGTTTAATAATTTACCTGTACTAGTAAGTAAGCCGGTCTTCAACCAGGGAACAAGTGGGTCGTATAGTTCACCTTTTGCCAGATGCTGCGTCATATTGCCTAGTATTGCCTAACGTCACAAAATAATGAAACACGTAAACAATAACATTTGAATTAAAAAACAACTATAGTATTATAATAATTATAAATAATTTTATAATGCAATTGTGTCAGATGTAACAAAAAACCGAGCAATTAATTATTGAAATAAGTTATAACGTGGCAGTTTTTTTCGTTATGCGTTACAGCGTCCCGTCGTCCGTCACTGGACGATATCTTTCTTGTTAAGTTGACGGTCGGAAGTTGCGATCCGGAAATGTTGAAACTCTTCTTTGGATTGCATCTACATGATTTTATTATATAGTTGTATTATTGACACGTTTTGTTACCAATTAAGATCAGCATCGAGAGATTTTTCGGAGAGTCTAAACAAAAAAAAAGTGTGTCGGGCGAGTTCGAACGCTAGAGTGAGAAAGAAAAAGCGAAAACGCGACGACGTGAAAATTAGGAACAACCTTGGTGACCACGACAGAAGCTATAAACGATAAAGAATTTTAGTGAATCTTTTTTTATTGCGACGACACACAAAGTCTACGTACGAGGTAAAATCGTGGCAAAGTGAAACACAAAAGATAAAACGCAGTTTTAATCAATTGTTATCCAAAAATATAATATCACATAAACAGAAAAAATAATTTATAATTCTTAATATGTCTGTAATCGATTCATTACATGAAAAAAAAATTTTCTACGGCCAGCGAGAAAAATTTGCTGAGTCTTTGTTGAAGATTTTGTTTCTCATCAACAAAAAACGTTTTGCTTGGCAAAACACAAAATTCACAATAGCTTCGCAAATTTTTCTGGCTCACCATGTAATCTTTTTTCTACTCTAGCAAATCTTTTTTTTTATCCGGACGTAACTTTATACGTCCATTACCTCTAGATCATTTGGATGGCGAATGCTGACCTGACCACTCGTGAAGAACCACATTCTATGAATTGGATAATATATTTCACTTAAGTGACGATTAAGTTTCCAGAGTTTCTCTGAAAGATGCACAACGTATATACAGAAAAATTTAACAAATGAAACATTAACAAAACCAATAATGCAACGCCTGTGTAATTGTTACCTGGTGAAATGAGAAATTCTAGAGTATTGCCGATAATCGGACGCGTCGGCATTCCCGGTAGTTGATTGATAAATCGTCCAAATCTTCCATATTGAACGGAATAATGATACAACAATAGAATAAACACGCCCAACAGCAACAGAGCTATGATCATTGTTCTTGTTGGGCGATTTGAATTCTTTCTGCGAGGTATTTAAAGTGTCTCAATCAAGACTACTTTGTAGCACTCTGATTCGCGTGCGCCTTCTCTTCTCAATTTTAAGTGTAAGCAAAAATTACACGGTGTGTATAAATATATTACGCACTAGTCTGTAAGGAGAAATTATTGTCATTTGTCTCACGATCCGGAAATAAAACAAACAATAATACACGCGAATTTTTGATTGAGCAAACAACATGTAATTATGGCAACAGCCGCGGAATATATTTTAAATGTGTATACATACAATATAGCACTTCACTTGTGTTATATAACCGAGTTTTTCGAATGCAAAACACGCACATTAAATTCGAGCATAATTTTTCTTTACTGTTCTTTATGTACATATTTATACCATGCGATATATTTGTATATTGATATGAATCTAATCGCTTTACATTATACTTCTATTAAAATTGTATGTACCATTAAATGTTGGGAATAGACTATGCGTGTATTCGTGATTCGTGATTCGCGATTCGTAGCGATGCGCTACGTAGTTACGTAGTAGTCACGCGCAAAAAGTGTGTTTGTATAATCGCGAATCGTGAATAACGAATCACGAATACGCGCATAGTCTAGAGGTAGCATAAGATTGTAATTAAGACAAAAAATATATCAGACTTTATATCAGATTTTATTTAAAATGTCCAGATTAGATCTTCAGATATTGAAATTTAAACATTTTTTAAAACGATATCCGGTATCACTTTAAAAACTAAGAAAAACAACTTTTGTTTATTTCTCTAGCATCCTGGAGATGACTCGTGTGATCTTCAGATTTACCGGTCAAACTACATTCCGATGTCACTATTACAGATACCATACTTCACGCCTACAGTTAATTTCTGATACTAATAAAGTGCATACAATAGAACGCAGCTTATGTAACTTTCCAATCGAAATAGTATCGATTTGTGTCGACTTTTTTTTCTTTTTTTGAAAAGAAATAAAACGTTAAAAGCGTCGGAATTACAAATTGTGAGTGGGAAATCAAATTCTAAAAGTAATCTAATAACTACCTAGAATCCGTTGCTATAAATAGTTTGTTATATAAGTCTTTTTAAAGTTTGAATAGAATGGAGAGACTGTACCGAACGGTTTGCAAAATTTTATGCATTGTAGTTAAAACGCGAGTGTTTCTTTCAGATTTCAGGTCTAAAAACATTTTATATCTGTTCCGACAATGTGTATAAATGTCAAGATAAAATGTGATGTTATCAAGTCAACAGTGTCGTGTTAAAATGAAAATAACAATTAGATAGAGAACACACTTAAGAGAACTTAAACTAAAGTCGCAACGTCTGAAAGAGAAACACTTGAGTTTTACTTACAATGCATAAAATCCTGCAAATCCGTTCGCATCTCTAATCTATACAAATTGAACTTTCCAACTTCTGAACCTGAGATCATCTTTTGTCAAACTGATTATCTTTTCATAGTGTTTTTCAAGAGATTTCTTATCTGTCAGTTTTTTTTTTAAATAATTTTCAAAGTTCAATCTTAACTTTCAAACATTAATTTTTTTATTGTGAAATTACACATATTTCATCCAAAAATATCTCAATTATTTTATCCAAAAGAACTTTTAAATACTGTAATGTGAATATTTTTAAAAACTTATCCAAATGTAAATATTTCGACTTTGCACGTTCAGTAATGTATACGTTCCTAATGTTCGTGGTTGTGTGGATTAATACCGAAATTTGTTCGTTGAACGTCGTATGTTACCTGGATTACAGCAGCTCTATAACTTGTAAAGAGTTTACTGACTATATACAATACGGACTTGCTGTTTCCAACAATCAAGTGAACTTGCGCATATTATCTTTGATTTTTTTATCTGTTTATTCGGGCTGAGTTTGGAAAGCGCGTTATCAACGCTGTTGCATTAACTTATCTTTGCTTTTACATTTAATGAAGATAGAATATTGCCACAGCTCTAATAGTGCGCTCCTCCAACGTAGCCTCGGTGATATCTTTCACATTTTCGCATTTATCGTCATAAGATTTGACCTGTAGATATTTTATCAGTAGATATATCGTATCTGCTAAATATTTTATTTTTACGCAGAAGTTAATATGCCAATGGGGCATGTCACTGAATTATCACTTTGTTTTCTTTTAAGCCAGTATGTTTTAAATATAGACTAAACTTGAAATGTAAATGCGAACTATGTAAAGTGACAGTTTCCATTTCTATAAAGTGACATCAAGTTTTGCGCTAACTGGCTTTTTCGCGTAAAATCAACGAAAATAAACGTCCGATAAGGCGGACTTCAAAATTGAGACACGCGAGAAATTGTAGATGTATAATTCACAGAACACCTTAGATAAAGAATACGAAAGTATGAAATAATATGAAATAATATAATAAATTATATAAATCGATTAGTAAAATGGATGAAATATAAGTCTCTTCAGTTTTTTTTTCTGTTTTGTCAATAAATATGCAATAATTGTTGAAGACAAGTTTTATAATAAACGTTTCAAAGCATCGTTACACGTAACTCGAAAAAAAAATTTTTAAAGATATAATTTACAATAAAGATACGATTCAAAACAGATTAGAATTTTTACTCAAAACAGAGAGAGTAGAGAGAGAAGAGAGAGTAGTTAACAGATTTATTCAATTCTTCAGTTTCAATATACTTTTCTCTACTGTAAATATTACTTAAATAATAAAAAAGTGTAATAATAATAACATACAAAGATGTTTTTTTCGGGTTTGAACCGCGTTAGTGTCATTTTTATACCGACGTTTCGTGAACATTACAGCTCACTTCATCAGGGTTTAAAGAGCAGCCTGATGAAGTGAGCTGTAATGTTTTAAACCCTGATGACGTGAGCTGTAGTGTTCACAAAACGTCGGTGTAAAAATGACACTAACGCGGTTCAAACCCAAAAAAACATCTTTGTATGTTAATACTACACACCGCGAAAGCATCAAATATCAGATGTAATAATAATAGTTTCTCAGACATAACATTAGATGTCTAATGAACATCTGTGTTAACGAAGATTTATACGGAATGTTCCGTGTGTGAGAATACACGATTTACTATAAGCGATATGTTTAAAAGCGTGTATTTTTAAATATTGAAATGTATTCTCGAGTCATAAAACGAGTAATTCGATTCAAAAACAAATTTTCTTACTTACTTGTTACACAACAATTAGCAGTGACGAAAATCATTAACTCATTTGTTAAAGACGATAAGAAAAAGCACAGATCCGATTCGAACGACAAACACTACTGGACTATCACCATTTCATGGTCGTACACATGTTTATATAGATGAAACGCTTTATTATGAGAAGCTACTACTACATAAATCATACATGTAAGCGTTTTGTGATTATATCATTGCATTTAAACTGCAGTAAAATTTTTTAAACAGATACACGATTTTACCTGATTTGGATTTATCAATTAGAGGATCATTAATATTTAAATTACGCTAATTTTACAAATTTTGTAATTATAAATATACATATTGCGTTTGTAAATTGTGTATAAATCCCGATAATAAATCAGTGTATATAGCAGCAAATAAACTAACGTAATCACTATGTGTAAATGAGTGATTTATTTTTTAAATTTCCTCTCATTTATTTTGCACCACATAAAAAGAATAATGAAAAAACTGACTTATTGACATATAAAATGTTAAAGTTTTTTCTCCATGTTCATTCTGATTGTAAAAAATCACTTACTTTATCATATAGCAGAAGAACTTCATCCACGCAGAGGAATCCGAGAAGTGTGATCAGCTGATTTTTTTTATTGCTGACTGATTAGATAATAACTAAGTTTGTATAAATCCTTTGAGATACCTGATTCAGCAGAATTCGATACATGGGTTTATTTTTATACACTTGCTTATTGAGCAACTAAAACAGAATATTTTGTCGATTTGGCAAGCACTAGGCTGTGTCCAGTTAAGCAAGAGGGAACAAAGAGAGTGCAGTAAACACAAGAATTGAAATGCGAGAATAGCAGGAATTGAAAGAAGTCGAGAAAATAAAAAAGAAGAAATGAGAAGGTGACTCTCCAATCTGTTGCGCATGCTTCGCAACATCCGAAGGCCACTTTCTCATTTTTTCTTTTTCATTTCCTCAACTTCTTTCAATTTCTGCTATTCTCCCAGTCAGAAATACCTTGTCGAATCGACGTCGATTCGACGTCGATTATACTAGTCGATCGACGGTTGAAA